TGACCCTTCCTTTTAACCAGAAACCAACCTCCCTGGAGCACCCCAGCTATCCTAGTTCATGTCTGGTATAATCACAATTCAACTTTCTCACTTCCTGATGGAAACAGAGGATGATAACTGAGTGCAGTCTGAGTCAGGTTTCTATTCCCAAATATTTTAGCCCTTGAGGGGACTAAAAGCAGTTTAGACTGGATACTAGGTCTTTCCCAGTGCCTACTGCACTAATTAGTACTGCAGTAATTAGTACTCAGTAATTTTAAAACTGGTTTTATCTCTAATAATAAAAGGAGATTTAAAAAATACTTTTCTCATTTAACCTGATCTCTGTTTTCTGTTCAACATTTCACCAAAATGTTCATTCAAGATAACTTTCTATTGCTTGTTCAGTCTGTAGTTAATGTATAGGAAATACACAATATTTTCCTTTTTATTTAAAACATTAGACATATTTAATTATGTTGCAGAGAAATCAAGGACATTATCACAAATACAAGTGAGAAACCTATGAACTAAAAATAAGTCGCTCAGATCCATGTAACTTGATTCTGGGACCACTGCCACCATCAATCTTTCCCTCATACCATTGTTTCCTTTCCTCCCACCAGTTTTCAGTGCAGATTCTCAACTGAATGAAAAATGCCCATCACAACAAGACATCCTTCATCCTCCAGCTGCAAACTCCCACCACTCGCCTTGGAGAAAAACTTGGTCATAATCTTGTGTGTTCAGTCAGATGATCCCACCCATCTGTGTGAAATATTAACCAACTAAGAGTAAAATAAAGATATTTTTTCAGGTTTTGTTTCATCTGGCAACAAACAGAGCATTAGAACTGCTTTTGGTGACTGAAATGAAGCAGAAATAAGAGATCTCTGAAAAAAAGAGGACAGATCTATTCCTTTCCTCCATTCAAAAGCTTTTGTAGAAAATTCATGGCATGAACCAATGTAAAGGCCTTTTCTACAGTCTGGAGACTATTCTACCACTCCCTGTGAGTCAGTCTCTCCCTCCAGCACATTCATGAGGCATGTGGACATCCACTGAGCTTTTTTAGGAACAGAAGCACAGTAATTATGAATCCTGGCTTTGTATTTTTCAGCTGTGGAATTGCACATTAGTTTCTATCTTCTGTATCTATTATAATGACTAAAAAATACAGTATCATTTCATAAACATGAAAGATGACATTTAAGGTATAACTGAAACAACAATGGATTCTACAAAAATAATTATAGTAACAGAAAAATGTATTTGCACTAGTTCTCATCTATTTTGAAACAGCAGACAAAAATTATGAGTGATACAATCAAATTAAACATATCTTACTTTAGGCAGATAGACATTTAAATCCAGACTCCTCCTGTTCTCTTTTGATTGTAAGGTGTTCACAAATTACAAAGCACAGTTCATATATCAATTTTAAACAAATGTTTTACTACCATACCAAATAAAGAACAGAAAGTTATAAAAATACTGTTGGAGGTGATTCTCCTTCAAAGTCTAACACAATCCTATATCTCTGAATGCCAGAAAACTGGATAAGGTTAAAGTCTTTGAAGCATATCAACATGTGAATACAAAATACATTACCCAGAGTTCATGCTTTGGTTGCACTGTCACTACATAAAACAGATTTATTCAGACGCAAAAGACATGCACTAAAGTTCAGTGAGGTACAATCATAGACAGAACCTTACCAAAAAGTAACACACTGATCTGTACTCACTACTCAAACAGACAACTGGTAAACACTAATACAGAAATACCAAGGAAAAGTCTCTTTTTTTGAAAAATACATTTCAAGATATGCCAAAGATAGGTGCAGTATAAAACAGTTTTCCCAGATTTTTCCCCCTCTCTCTCTCTGCCTTTACAGCAATTTCTCCTCTTATGTCCCTCCCTTTCTATGAGAAAATCTTTTACTGAAAACGCTCTGGTTCACATCCTTAATATTCAATTATTTGAGCTACTGAACACTCATTATTGAAATCAGTGCAAATTAAGCATGTGTTAATGGCATCAATTCATGATAGCATCACTCTTTATGACAGTACAGAAGAACTCCCTTTTCTGAATTCTGGTACTAATTAGGAATATGTTTAAGTGTGTGCTTATGCAGTGATGGTCAGAATAATATGACTCCCAAAAAATATGATCCCAGGTAAGAGTAAACAAACTTTTTATCCAGTTAAGTTTGAAAAATTATTGCAGATCTAACTCCAATTAATTATACTGTTTGTTTCTTGCTGTTTTTTTAAAAGTATCACTTAGAGTTCTTGGAATCAAATGTTTACATGCAGATTAGAAAGAAAATGGATAGGACTAAAATAACAAATTTATTACATGCCATGTTACAGTTCACTGCATTCTCATTCCTATTTGTACTCACAGTACTATGAGAAACTAAAATTATTTCAGCAGAAACAAATGAAGTACACAGAAAAGTTTGTCAACAGACAGAAGCAAGTGTATCCAAAAGCCAAACAGCCATAACACTCAATAGGTTTAATACTCCATTACATTGTTCCACAGAAATTAGAGATGAAAGACTTCTTATCCATCCCTTGCCAATTCTGAATGTTTTCAGTTCTCCAATTCAGCCACTGGAGGCTGATTGGCAACTGACAACCACATGAATAGAAAAAGCTAACTAGATGAGCCAGAGGAGAGCCGGCTGTGAAATTTGTATTTCCTCTTGTGCAGTGCCAAGTTCCTTTAAGTTTCCTTTGTTTAAAGGTGAATTAATGAACCTCAGGAACTCACTGAATCTGGGCCTTGCATTGTACAGCAAGCTGACTGCTTTTCAAGCACACATCCAACATACTGCTGAAGCCACCTTCATCCCTCCTACAGAGGAAAGTGTTCAGCATGCTGTCAAAAAGCATCAACCTACATTATGGAATAAAAACTGACATGTTTCTTTTGGACTGAACATTTTATGAAAATGAGACTCTAAAAAACCAATAAATTATAGCAGATCAATGTTGTTAATGATACCGTATTTCTACACTCAGTCCAACAGTCAGAAGAGCTGGTACTCAGAAAGGTCATACCACAAATAATGCCAGGCAACCTCATAATCAGGGCTTTCAGATTCTCTCAACCACTCCTATATTTCATCACCTAAATACTAAAAAAAGTTTTCATTAAAATTGGATCTTTTGTCACATCTCTCACCTTCCATAACAACTGCACATAACCTCATCCTCTCTATTAAACTTTGGGACTCAACACTGGAATAACACTTCCTCTGAAATGTGTATTGTATATCATATCTAGCTATGCCTGGTACCAACTAGACTATAAATACAGTAATCCTTTCTGAGAAATTCAGAGGAGGGAGCATATTCAACAGAAATATTGGGGGAAGGGGGGAGCTCTTAATGTAACATTTTCTATTCTTAGCTATTAATCATGTCTATATCTTTGGTACTGAACATCCTTACCTACAGCCAAATACTAATCCCATTAATCCTCTTTAAAGATCTGTAAGGTCTTCTGTGTAATGCTGACTTTTACCTAATGCATATCTTAATTTTACAGTGATTTTTGCAAGCTCACTTGAGACCAATTTGTCTTTAAGAAAGGAGGAAAGACTGCACTTTTCCATAATGAAGACAATGGATTTAGAAATAGAAATTAGATATTAAATGCTTCTGGCAGCAATAGTCAACACCAAGAGGTCAGCACAGAAAAACTACTCCTGAAGGATTTCTACCAAAGCTCTTACCGCAGAAAGGATGGACAACTGGTCCTATGATTCGGGGGGGATGTATGCCATCTTGGAGAAGGTTCAGCAATGCATAAGGATTATTTTAACCCCCCCTCCATAACACATCTTTTCCATTAGAAGCAAACAAATGTCAAGAAGGTAATTACCCATCAATCCATACCACACATTCCATACATTAATACCATTTGGCTTCGGCTCAGTGAGTGGCATGTGCAGTAACAAACCGGATCTACAAAACCACGCTGTGTGCAAAGGGGACCAGATCCCACACTGCACTCTTAGCACTGGGGATTTAACACAGTGCCTTTGAGTACAACGACCACAGCACTGTTACAGGCCTTCCAAATTCTGCTGATACAAATTCTTCCAAATGTAGGGTTATAACTTTTTCTCCAACACTGAGTATGTGAAGAGCATTATGCTTAATGGCCACAATCTGGGCCAACACCAATCTGCTTTCCATGAATTGAGCAGGCAATGGCAGCTGGATAAGCATTTCTGAAAGTTGTAGACCTCTTGGACAATTTTGGGGAACTCATGACAATGAGCAGGAAACAGGAACAGGAAATGGAGCACAGATAAAAACGAAATCTAAGGTTGAAAGCCAAAAGTCTCTATCCATGGTCAGGATAAGACAAGCTCAGAATTATCCTTGGGTGTTTTGATGCATTCATTCCTAGCTGCTCTTATATCTGCATTTTGTATAAATCTGAATTGATTAATTATCATCTAATCACACTTTTTAACATACTGGATAGAACAAATGGCTGACTGAAAAGAGAAATGTTACATTTCAACTTTTTAAAACTAGCGATTAATAAAACCATCACCTTATGGATGAAATGGATGAGAGTAACTAATCCCATTTAATTAAGGCTTTCTTTGCAAAGGTGTAAGAGATGCTACAAAATCCTTCTGCATTGTCATTTAGGATTAAAATTGAGAGCTTATGTAGGTTGGTTCAGTTAAATAGCATAGCCTGTGATTCTGCATTTTCTTAGAGCTGGAAAAAATGTATGTATGTGTGTTCAGGAAAGATAAATCTCAGGGATATTTATTTTAAAATGTTCTCTTCAAAATACCAGTATCAGTTCTACAGCTGATCACAAGAGGGAGACTACATTATCATATTTCCTCTCATTGTTTCAAATTTTTAAAGCATACAAACAATTTGAGTCATTTTGGACCAGCTCTAATATTTGCTCAGTTAAAAGTATTAATGACTATTCAATTAATATTTTTTCTGAGTTTGTCAAACCTCTGAAATTTACAGATAAAGGTAGCCAATCCAGTAAACAAGGTTGAACAATGCAAAGGCAGTTGGAAAGAAGATTCGAGAATAGGAGTCAATTTTTGCTATACGGATGTGTATTCTTCCTTCTCGCCAAGATCCTGTGCGGCAGTCTTCAAAACAACAAAAGAAACTAGCACAGTCTTTTCCTTCTAGGCACTCATATCCATAATCATCATCACGTTCAGGGAGATGATGAATGTTATTCATTGGAATTAGTGTTGATCCAGGTCGAACAGCAATTGCAGGTGGTTTCTTAAGAAAAAAAAAAAAAAAAAAAAAAAAGGGAAATATAGTTTTGTGTGCTTTTATCCTCACATTAAATAATTCCATAGGCTTTCCCTGGCAACATAACCACCTTCAGTACAATATACAGAAATTCTTATGTTAAAGAAAACAGTTTGGGGAGCTTAGAAAATTATGAACTGCTATATGTAATTAGCACACGCAGGCAAAAGATCATGAACTACTTTCACCTGCCACAGTGAAAATTGGGTTGTGCTGGGATTTGGGAATAGCAGATAATTAGTTACACAGACAGGGTTAGGTGATCCCATCTACACAACACAGACAAACATTTTGAAGTCAGTCACTTCTTGACAACTGGGTCACAATCAAGTCCACAAGCAGGCTACAATCACCACTAAAAAAGTAATGGTGGTCCTCCCATCTTTTGGAGTCCTTAGGAGATGTGTTTCTGGAAGCTACATTTTCACAAAAATAAAAAAGCTAATGAGTTTAACACAGCATCACTGGGGAAGTTTAACAGACTGAGACAGGTAAGACCAGGCTATGCCATCTAACCCTCAAATGTTAAATCCCTAAACAATACAGCCCCCCTTTAGAATCCAAAACATGACTCCTTAGGAGAATGCCACTCAAGTCACCGATTAATTAAGTTCTTAATTCTTACTTTTACTTTCTGTGGTCATAACAATCTTCTTGTATCTGGTAAAAACTCAGTGTAATGCGTTATAACTCTCATCGAAAAAATCTGGGTGGATTATTGCCTAGTACATATAGTGTCTGCTATTCCCTTACTTGTGACTTTTGCCTTTCCACCCTCCTTTTACTTATACTAACACAACCCACCTTTTCCCCTTTTATTTCATTTCTCCACAGTTTTATATGCATCATCCTTGTTTTCCTGATTGTTTCAAAATATATTCTCTTTATCTGTCCTTTATCTTCTCTTTCTAAATCTCATGGCTGTTTTAAACTATTCCATAATCCTCCTTCAACTTACCCCACCCGACCCCACATTTGGCATCGCTTCTAAAATCTTCAGACCAAAGAGAAGGGTTACATTAACACTGCTCTTATATTGTGTTCTCTCTTTTCCACATTCTTCATATTTTGTCAAGTAAGGACATAAAACAGCAGGAAAGGAAGCAGTGAGAAAATATAACAGGATATTATTAACCAATTATACATCATAGACAATGAAATAACATGAAAAAAAATATGGAAAGTGGGAAGTCTTCATTTAGCTTCTTGTAATCCTTTAATGTCCTGTTGTCCCACATCCTGTGAAGTACTTTGGCCAGTACACAGACCTCTGTATATTGTTAAGGTGACATTCTTTTGCTTCAGGGGCATCTTACCCAATATCCCAAGGGATGGTGTTAATGCAGTGCAGTATCCACCATGTTTTCAAATAGCTTTATTTAATAAGTGTCTCTACTAGAGAAAGTTTCACATAGACTGCTGTTTCAAAACTGATTATACATGCTGACCTAGGGAGCTAATTATCATCCTGAAGGACCTCATTATTCTTTTCAGTTATGATAAATACTGACAATACTAAGAAACAGGAGTTACATGCTTCTGTCCTAATTTGAGGCATTGCAAAGAGAGGTTATTTTTATAAAAAACTAAAAATAGGTTCAATTTATTTTTGAAATTAAGAAGAAGTCTTTATTCTGCTGAAGATAAACAGGGAAAGATGCCTATTTCTGATCCACACCTAGTCTGTTCTGCTCAATGTTGGTTTTGCCCATGTAAAATTTATGGGATGAATTGTTTCTACTAGTGGGGTAAAACAGGAATCCTCAACACAGAAACATGATGGGAGAAGGAAAAAATTACAGTACTGCTTTCCACTGTTCACAACACCAGCAAAGACTGGAGGTGGCTACTGAATTACATGTTTGAAGAGGTGGCTTGACTGCAGACACAGTCATCCTGTAGGCTTAACTACCTACAGGAAGTACATAAAATGTGTGCAAGAGGCAATGAGAGGGAAAAGAGAAAAAAAGACCAATAGCTACCAAGAAAATGCCTTTATATAAATTGGAAGAAACTGAAAAAAAAAAAAAAAAAAAAAACCAACAAAAAACCCACAACATGTAGATATAGAAGTACATGTTGATTTTTTATGGATAAGCCTACTGAAACTGTAGATAAAACAGCATGTATTGTGATATCATTTATAATACAGTCTGATAGGATCAAACCCCAATTATTCTGCAATAACACTAATACAAGTACAAAAGGAAGCCACTGTCTGTGGAGATCATGGAAGAGGCAATACATTTATTTCAGGTGAAATGATGATCAGAACAAGATCCACAACTAATTAAGTTAAATCTTTCCTGCCTAAACTCATTATCCTTACTAATGTGGATTTGTATAAGCCAATTCATACTACCTTTCTTGGATGATGCCAGCACATATTTTCTAAGATAAAACTGCTGTAATCATTTGCAAAATCTCACCATTTTTTTCACAAGATCATTTATTGTGGCTTATTGGCATCAGTTCCTGGAATAGTAACCATTTATAGCATTTTGCAGTAGAAATAGAAGATCTATGCAAAGCAAGTTTCCCAAGGAAAAAATCACTTGTAAATGAGTTTTCAGAAGGAATTAAACTGACTTCAAAAATTAAATTGGTTTTTTGAGTTACATACCTGTAACTACAAGACAAAAAGAATTAATAGAAGTCTCTGACAAAAATAAAGGGGGAAAAATAAAAGGTAAAAAAAAAAAGAATAAAAAGAAAAGGATTTGTAATGGTATGACTTCCCATTAACTAATTAGATGCCTTCTTTATTTATTTGGAGCAAGAAAAGTCACAGCTTTTTATAAAACATCACCAGAAAAACTTTTACCAAATTAGAATCCATGCATCTACATATATTAAATTTAATTCTCCCTTTCTTTGTGTAATCTCTTTATTTTGTACGGTCTTATAGCCGTAACATGTTTAAAAAATTCTGTTCAAAATGATTTATTTTTTCAACTTCTTAGAAAGAAAAAGCATCATTTAAGAACCCAGTAAAACACGATTGAACAGTATTTTAGCATTATATTGCTAATTTTAATTTTAGTGCAAATTCCAGCTATTTATTCAGTAAGTTCATAGTTTCTATCTCATCATTATTCTGCATTTAAAGTTTTCATATGCCCTGAAAATCTCAAAGCACTTGGCAGATTATTGCACACATGGGTGATGTGTGAACAGATTCTGCAGAGTGGCATTATTTCATTCAATAGAACATACTTGCAAACTGCTTCAGTGTCTTTTGATTTGTCAGCAGCTGATCTTTAATAACTGCCTGGTTTGAATACAGCAGTACATCCTGATATCTTCACCTACTCTTCAGTGTGCATGCCAAGAGCAGATCTACTCATCTCCCCGCTCACCAAGCGCTGTTGAGACCTCATTGCAGCAGCAACCTGAAATTGAATCTGCTGTGCTGACACTGGGATGCCCCCACATCCTCTGTTACCTTTTACCCTCATAACTCAGCTATGCCCTTACCAAAGCCTGTGTTCTGCTCCTTCTGTTGTTCCCACATGTGTTTCTACCACTAACAGGAAGCAGATTTGAGGTTTCCATTTTCCAGTTTTCCTGACTGTGCTGGATTCCCTGAGGATCAGAGTGATGTCTGACCAAGGCAGCACAGGGAAGTATTAACTCTTCACCACTGGCCTTGTCCTAAATACAGAGCTGATCCCCTTGGAACTGCTCACCAAATGAAGCCTAAGGGGTCTCATTACCCTGGAATCAAGCCCCAACAGCCTTGCAGGGTCCCCATAAAAGAGAGGCCCCACAGCAGTGCTGCTCAGAATGGGTGCACCAGTTCTTTCTGACATAAGCTGCAGAATGGATATGGTTCATAACAGGATTTCTGCACTTCCATACCTGCAATTACTTCTTTAATTTCATATCAATTTCTGTTTCACCTCATACAGAGCTGGTATTCAGCCTTCATCCAGAAAAGGCAACTGGTATTATGGTTCAGGTATGCTCCTGCATTTTTTGATGAGATTTGGAAAGGGGCTTTATAACATTTTCCTTTCTCTTATTCTCTCCAATGTTTTCTTACTTTAAAGACTACCTTTAAATATTTGTACTGACTTCCAACAATAAATGTTTTGGAAAAAACAGTATTCTTACTACACAAACAGAAAGACTCTTAAAATTGAATAATACTTGATCCTGAGATATGTGGAGGTTTACAATAGAAACATCAACTTGTAAAAGCAGAAGGTTAATTTAACCAGAAAGAAACACGGAAGCCAATTTAGAAAAGAGTTAAGATAGAATTTCTGTAGTGGGATTCAGAATACTGGCCAATAATAAGCATTTATTTCCTTTTCAAAACTTTTCAAGACTTAGGTGATGCAGATCCAAAGAAATCCTCATACCTTCAGTCCATGCACATTATCTTTACTGCTACACTTTTAGCTGTTGTCTGCCAGGTGCTGTTTTCAGAAGCACTGTGCCCTACAGAACCATATCTGTGGGTACATACTTCATGGGCAGTTCTAGAAGCACCAAGGGTATGGAATAGTATATCAAACCACCTTAGGCTCATGTGTCCTCATTCACATCTGTGAAATCATCTAAACCCTTTGCTCACTAGCTGTATTTACATAAAATTAGTATAAGCACCCAACTGCAAAAAAAAAAAAAAAAAAAAAGAAAAAAAAAAAGAAATATTAGTGTCAATTATCTTTGAACATTAGCTTTTATACTTAAGGAGCATTCATTCAAAATGAATGCTACAATAAAAACCACTCTGTATATTTTTTTTCTTGTTTGACTAAACTTACTGATGGCTTAGATTTTGCCTTCTTTTCTTTCCCTTTGACTCCTTTTCTGTTGCTGGTAAAGTAATGTAAGGTGCCATATTCCATCAAGGCAGCAAACACAAAAATAAAGCAAACTGAAACAAAAAGGTCCATTGCTGTCACATAGGAAACCTTTGGGAGTGACTTCCTAGCAATTGTACTCAGCGTTGTCATAGTCAGCACTGTTGTGATCCCTGTAAAGAAAGAAAGAAAGACAGAAAGAGGGAAATGTATAGGTGATCAAATCATATTGTCACCAAAAAAAAGTAATCATATTAGCTCTTAATTAATTGTTGAGTCATATAAGGACTGACCCACAGGAGGGGTCAAGCAGGTTTATCACTGATTATGTTCACGTCCATTGGTGCTATGGCAAGAATCCATCCCTATGGATGCAGCATCCTCCATGGGATCATAGAGAAAGCAGCACATTTCCCCTTCCCTTTAAATCCCTCCTATTTTCAACACACACTGAACAAACAATGACACTAAGTTTGTGAAGTTTTATAAATCCGACGTGAAATGTACACATAAATACAGTAGAAAAATGGGTACAAATAAGCACACACATTTTATAAGCACAAGGAAGTCCCTTAGCTCAAACGATTAACATGCTAAAAATGATGCATTCAGAAATAAAAGGAGTATTATTTATCAATTTCAAGCTTTTGGTAAACAAAAGAAAAATGAATAATGTTTCCAATTGTCTGCTTCTGAAGAAGACATAGAAGATCAAATTTGATGGCATTCACAGCTTTCTGGTCTCATTGTCTAAGTTATCAGATATGCTTTCAACACTGTGTCTTAAGTGATAGAAAATGTTTCCCTTGATTCACTTACATACAAGCTAATTAAAAGAACAAATTGGCCTTAATAGCTATGTGTTCAAAATCTCAACTATACCACTCTTCATTGGTTTAGCATTTACAAGGTTTTAACACTTTCTTCTTCTATTTGATGCTTCAGGGAGATGCAAATCCATTTACATAGTAGTCCAAAATTAAGTGTGACCTTTCCTTTGAAAAGCAATACTTGAACACACAAACAATTTGGTATTTACATGCACAAGTTTATTAAAAACTGAAACAAAAACAACCAAACCAAAACAAATAAACAAACAAAACGCATTACACCAGGCTAAAACTGTCTATGGCTCACAAATCAAAGCATGGAATCACTGGTCACTATGGACTGTTCCTGCAGCAGGAAGGCAGTAGAGTTTTCCCAACAGATTTCCCAATGAAATTACATGCCTAAAGGGGCAAACAGATAACCAAAGTGTTCTTCAAAAGTGCTTCAGTCCCGCCAGATACTTTTGAAAACTGATTTGACATTCCTCTGTATAACCAAATATTTAAATGTCTGTCATCTCCTCAAATCTTTTCCTCTGGGAAACCACAATCTTCCAGAATCTTCCAATAGATATGAGAGGAAAAGGTCCAATCTTTTCAGGGTACCAGACCCCAGCACACCCTCCAGGTGGGAAGTGGCCACCATTCCCTGTAGTGACTTCCGTTCAGAGTGTACAAAAAGAGACACAAATTTTTCCAGCCTTGTCTGCTACGTTAAAGGCATTAGGGGGCTGTCACAGGGAGCAAACCTTCAACAGCAAAACAGCTACCTGCCCTCACAAACCTTGCTTAGTTTTGGCCTTCTTGTATTAATTTCTCTTTCCATAAAATTGTGTCTGTTTGACAGGTACTCTCTTTCTCCTCCTCCAGAATATTTGCATGTAAGAAAAGTCATCCTACAAGCTGTCAAGTGATGGCTTTTGCATGTTTACAAGAAAGGAGCTCAGAGTTACCTGCAGGGAGCTGTAAATAAGATATTACAAAAGTTTGTATTCCATCTCGAGTAGATGAAGGCTAGTACAGCTGAAGTGAGAGCTTGAAAACTTCAGCTTAACCATGACATCAAAGACAGATTTTTAGGTTCATGGCATACAAAAAGCACTTTGTAAAAGAAAAAACTGGATACAGAACTAGAAAGATACCAATAGAACACTTTTTTTCTGTTATAACTATTGTATTGAAACTAGTCAGAGTCCACAATGATGTTCAATGAGTCAAAGAAATCTGATTAAATTTCTACATCAAGATCTAAAATTATCAAAAGTAATTTTCACTTATTTATTTGAGACCTTAGACTCCACTAAATTTTGCAGCACTTTCAAATAACATAAAGTTAGGGTGCAAACTGAGATTTTCTTCCCTTACCTTTCCATTAGGCTACTGAGCCATGCTTGCTCTTGCTTACTTTCTCTCTTGACTCATTAATCCTGCAGGCTTGCTGGTGGTCCAGTTTCAGTGAGAAAGGCAGGGAGTTAAAGCGTGGCTCATGCTTCTGGTAGCAAATGATCTTGTAGGGTGGGAATGGAGTGTTCACAGCAATACAGCTGATGAGGAAAATTAACTCACGTCTCTAAATTCCTAAGACACAACTCTCAGCTCTTGACCTTTCCCCAAAAACAGGTTAGACTGCTGTCACTAGTTCTCCTACAAGCATCTCTTCCTGCTAAGCTCAAAGCTGTGTCCTGTGCACCCCGTGTACCCATTTATCAGGCCTTACCTGGGGACTACAACTTTCCTCCAAGGCAGCACAGGAATCCTAAACAGTCAAACTTAGCAGACTGACACCATGCTAAACAGGTCAACCAAGATGACACTAGCACAGAATTATCTTTGTATTAGAACTTGCAACACACTTCAGAACAGTCTTTAGTAAAAGCAGGAGTTTTTGTAAATTATAGGCTTAACTTCTTGAAGTGCAACTTCGGTTGCAAATTATCTGTCCTATCCTGGGTCTAAAAGAATAATTGAATCATTCTACTAAAAAAAAAAAGCCAAACAAACCCATCAAACACAAACAAACACAAACGGATCAAAAAACCAATGCCAAAACCACAAAAAAACAAAACAAAAAAACTAAACCAGATTTTCACCATTCTTGGTCATGTAGTAATGACTTCATTTGTTCCACGACGCTAAGTGTCAGACTAATAATTGCAACATGACTATCCCTGGCGATGATAAAAAAAAAAAAAAAAACATAAAGAAGAAAAAACATATTTATGTGAACAACAGCAGACCAACAAACTTGGATCAGGACTTCCATGCTCAGCTTTGCTTCCTTAAACTCTGTCATGCAACTACAGCAGGATTCTCCTACTCCCAGTGTGGCAGTTCAAAAGAGAGAATGACCAACGGTCACAATCCCTGATGCACATTTGTTTTCTTTGGGACTACCAGATCCTCCAAGGCTGAAAAAAGACATTCTTACCCAGAGAAGTCCTTGCAGGAACTGCATCCTTATTGATCCAAAATGACACCCATGAAAGAACAACTGTGAGTATACAAGGAATGTATGTCTGAATAGTAAAATATCCCATACGTCTGCTGAGATCAAAGAATATTGTCATAATAATATAATCACCTAAAATTAAAAAAAAAGAATAAGAAGTATTTATATGACATCTAATATGGTTTTCGGTTGTATCTTCATCTGTTGTGTGGATCTAAATAGATATTGCACAAAATGAAACTCAACACTTTGCCTTACCAGACAAGGTATGAGAAATTTCAGTTGTATTTCGTAGCCCCACAAATGCAAACTGATACAATCTCCAGTATTTTGGATCTGCCACTTCAACAGAGGTTTTCTTCCATTTGTATTCAATTTCATTTCTGGGATATCCATCTAGAATGAAACAAAAAAAAAAAAAAATCAAACATTTAGCCACAGAATGTACTAAAGCACGTTTTCTGATCTCTGAAGTTATTTATAAACTAAACCAGGTCTGTAAATAAAGTTGATTTGAGACCATCTATAGTCCTTCTGCTACACTTAAAATTCAACCACAAAACAAACAGCCTCAATTTTAAGCCTAGGTAAATGTAAGACCAATCAAAAACTGTACAAATACAAACATTTAGAAAATATCTATCTGGCATTCTCGAACTCCAGTAATAAAAACTGGCTCAGAATCATCACTATTAAAACACAAATGTCATTACATTATCATTAAATGATCAGAAAGAGCTTAAAAGTACACTTCTTAATACATAATTTGATGGTTTAGGGAAGACCTGAAAGGAGGCTGTAGCAAGACAGGAGCTGGCCTCTTGTCCCATGCAGTCAGCAACAGGGTGAGAGGACATCGCCTCATGTCTGCATCAGGGCAGGTTCAAGCTGGATATCAGGAACAATTTCTTCACTGAAAGGTTGCAAAGCATTGGAACAGGCTGCCCAAGGAGATGGTGGAGTCACCATCCCTGGAGGCGCTCAAGAAACGACTGGACATGGCACTTCATGCTATGGTTTACTTGAGAAGTTGGTGTTGTCATAGGTTGGACTTGATACTGGAGTTTTTCTCCAACATTAATGATTTATGATTACAATAGCACAATTCCCTAGGAATTTTTTTTAAACATAGTTTGCATCAAAAAATAGAGCCTGAAGATTGTGGTTTCGCTCATATAAACTAAGTCCCACTGAAAGGAAAAGGACTTCTACTGATTCAGCATTTACAGGAGCAAGTTGAAGAAGACATATCTTATTCTTCCTTTTAAGTATACCATTTGGAACAAATTCAAAGTTGTCAAGTCTTGCAGGCATAAGAAAAAAGTTTTTCCAGGACAGTGCATTTCCATTAACTGGAATAGGCACTGTATTAAGACTCCTAAGCAAAAAGACTATTTTTAAAGTTGCAAAAGATACATGTGATTCAACTCATTCATTAGTGTAGTAAACAATGCAATAAGTCTAGTCAAAACATGAATGGTCAGTTCTTTCTTTTGCTGCAAGGCTTTAAAAAGTAAACACTTGCTCTTCTGATGCCAAAATTTAAGTAAATTTAAAGCCTGAATGTAAAGAGGACAAAAAAGTATTTTACGACGTACAGCTTGAAAACTCCAGAGGACAGGAGTGTTCATCCATAGGAAAATTATGAAGCTGAAGATAACACTCAGCATTAATTGTCAACCTAATTAGAAAAAGAAGGGGAAAAAGAAAATAGGTTACATTCAAGAATTCAGACACTTCCTACTACATATTAAAGAACATGCACAGAAATAAATTTTGCCAATTAATAGATATTATGAATAGCCTCCTGTGTATCAGAAAAACAACATCAAGCATTAGCACCAAAGAACAAAACAGGAATTATTATTGCATGCAACCTGAGGATCTGTGTTGTTTCAATTGGCATTTCAAACCATTTCCAAAATTTCAATTGATCTGGGGGCACCTCTCAGCTCTACAAGAAATAGGGGATAAAAATCAGTGTCTCAAGACAGGGGAAGGAGAGGAGCTTATGATAGCACAAGAAGGAAGTTTTTGTAGAATCCATTTATCAAGTCAAATTGCATTTGGCATCGTTGTATCTGGTAGCTTTACATAAGAGAAAAATTGTGGGGTACATTGGACTTGCTCTACACCATGGAAACAGTTCTGATGAAAACAGTATTTGGATAGGAAAAACCAAACTATGTTTCTACCTGTTTAATGTCTATCTAAGGTATTCAAATAATTCACAACTTAGAAACATTTTAGAACTGGTTTAGGATTCATAATTGTCTGAACTAGATCACTTTCTGCTTTTGAAAATGCTATCACAGATTTCTACAGGACTTCCAAGCAGTAAGTGCAAAACCCATTTCTGCTACCCTTTGCTAGTAAGCCAGAGTAAGGGGCTAGACTTCAAACTGACTTCTTTGCATTTAAAATACCTCCTCCTTTATTGGCAACAATGTATAGAAAGGCAGAATGTCTTCTAAAATCAACTTCAAAAATTGCCATAATGCTCACACACTTGACTGTGTGCAATGCTTACATATTAGACAAGAGATAGGAAAAGACTCTGAGACATGCTGCCAGATAGCTTTGTAAGTGTCTGAACAAAGTATTTATTCTACACAAACTGCCACTCTGACCTGACCAAAGGTTTGTAAGTAAAAGTGTATTTCTTAGCATACACTATGGGAGAGCAGAAGAAAAAGCCTTCCCCACACTTTTAAGAAGAATGCTATGGAGATGCTTTTCAAATTTGTCAACTATGATGTATGCATTTATTGCCTTTATTTTCGGTTTTCAATTTTTGGATAGTTAAACACACAAAGAAAAAGAAAACTAGCTGAGCCTTATGTTCAAAGCACCACAACTAGATCTGGAATCACTGATGGTGCAATGGACAGACCACGGGCCACCCTCAGAGGAGATTTAGTAAGGCTGGTTAACATTTTCACCATGTCTGCCCTCTGAATTGCCAACAAGGAAAGAGTGGTGATACAGGGGAGCCCACGAACCTGGAGCACTGTCAGATCATATTATTGTTCCTTCAATAAGCCAGACATGAACCTCTCAATGTTGTTTTACCTTAAGTCAAATTCAGGCCAGATCTTTACTCATACAGATGTTTGTGTGTTGCAGTGCAGGGTGAAAGCCTGTTCTGCTGTTCTCTTACCAGTTCACTGCACTTTATTTCTCATATTCTGACACAGTAATCTTAACCTATTGCTCTGTGAGGGCTCCAATTATTTTTTTGCCCATATTTATTTCCTTTGGCTACTTTGCATATCTTTAGAAGAATTTTTTTCATTGAAAATGAATGGACACCAGAAGGGTAAAGTCCAAGTATGACTCTACAATTGCTAATTAGAAAAAGAAAAAAAAATTAGCATGTCAACAGAAGGGGATCTCTAGAGACTCTTATAAACACCAACTGGCATAATAAACCATTTAAAAAGTGCTCTTCAGAGATGTCTGTATGCTCTCAAATGATGCATACTAAGAAAAAATTCAATGAAGAGAATCCTTATAAAGCATTCTAATTCTTCTGACATTTGATACATGAGAAATTTATACATTGTTCATACAACATATGCTGCATATGAACACAGCATACACAGCATAAGTGATTGAGAAGAAAGTAATTAAAAGTGCCACTTTTTGTTTTAAATAGATAAATCAAATATACAAATAAGAGCAAAATCATATTTATGGTATCCTCTGCATAGACTACTTCTTGATCAGTTCTTACTACAAGATTTTTTTGCTATATTTAGAAAATATGACAGTGATGACCCTAAAATACTTTCTTTAGACTACAGCCTTTCAAGAACTGTTTGAAAAGTGACTCAAAAATTAATACAGATAGCCTTAAGCTTAAAAGCAGCACATGCATCTCCCATTTGCCAAGTAGAATTATCACCAACATGTTTGTTTATGCCTATTTTGGATGAACAGATCTGTTGATTTTAATAGCTTACAAGTATAAATATGTTAAGAAGTACATGCAGGACTGGAACCTTTGCTTTAATCAAACTTGTTATATTTTTTACTATTTGAAGCATTTAATATTTTACTTACAGAATATAATTTAGTGGAAATTAGATTATGAATATTTAGACCAAAAATAATTAATCTGCAACATATTAGTGATAGACCACCATGATGCTATATACCATATAGCACCCTTTTTTAAATCTTGCCTGTACCTAAATGAGACCAAAATTTGCTATCACCTTCAGTTGTACTTAGGCAGTTATCTTTGCATTATATTTCAATACTATGAATTTCATCTTTTTCATGATCGAATGATGTTTTTTATTTTCTTTTTTAATCATTTCCATGAAAATTCCTATGATCCATAACAAAAGAGATGCCAGGAATTTGATTCATACTCATTATTTTCACATTCCTGGTCATAACAGCGTTTTGGTTATTCTTCTACCCAAATAATAAAAACCTACCTTAGAGTGTACAATACTCTTCCATCACTCCAGATTCGAAGCAAACGATTTGGAGTTGTAATCCAGTGAGCATCAGATTTCCTTGAGTTCCGGAAGAAAGTGTCTGGAATCCAGATTTTTCCAACCATATTGCTATTAAGCATAAGCACCTTCATTGAGCTGTTAAATTTTAGACGACTGTCATACCAAGTCTGGGCAAAAATTATATCTATAGTGTATTCCTAAAAACAGAGAAACAACCATATCTATGTTTACATTCACCAACGTCTGCAAGCCACCTGTTTTTTGACTCGTATATAAATCCAAAGCCACTTCCTCTATTCTCTTCTGTATTACCATTTGCATAGCAGACAGCAGCCAGTGAACCCAGAATGAGAGACAAAAGATGCACACAGCCTTCTGTTGCTACCTCCTCTCCCCTGACACACACTGATTACTTCAGGAAGAAGATATGTGATGAGAGTGTAACTTGGAGGTTCCCGCACAGTGCAATCACCTCTGGGGGCCCTGAACAGAAATTCAAGGGCAACCTTAGTACTTTAGGGTTAGACTATGTTAAGACAGATATTCTATATTTTTAAGAACCAAACAAAGCAAGCTTTCTGTGTTTTCCCCCAAACTTTTCAACACACAATTTAACATTTTTCAAGACATTTCAGATTATGAAGAATTCATGAATATGTGGAAATTAAACATGGCAGTTTGCAGAACTGTTACCATCCGCCTTGTACACCTACCAACATACACACAAAAGTATACATAATCATAATGAAGAAGGAAATTTCCCTAAAGAAATTCCACTTTACTTGTTAAAGCCTCAAGGAAGCTCCTTCTGTAATAGAAAATCAAATTCCTCTGTAAACTTATGGCCAGAAAAGAAAGGCGAAAAACAAAATAAATAGATTCCATTTTATGAAATAATTCTTGACACAGTAAAAGTTGAGAGGGATATCAATACAGATGCATAAAAGAATACTTCTTTTTGAAGAATCCAGCCAGTTGTTTCTGCACTGCAGACAAAGGGGTAAAGCAGCAGCTCTCGGTGTTGTCAGAGCTCTAGACCATACTCTAACCTTAAAGGCAAGTCTCACTACCTGATGGCAGATGTGATCTTTCCTGCACAGCTGCCCCATGAGGGCTTCAATGAGCAACTTGGCAGCTCCCCTGCAGGGAAAGAGCTGGAGACCAAGCTGAAACACCTGGTGTTGGTTGTTCACCTCTCAATTACAGGTTGAATGGACAGGCAAAAGTGAGGAAGAGACAGTGTTCACACTCTTGCTTGAGCCAAAGGAGTTAGTGTGGTATTCACATGCCCTCTGAACAGAGAAAAGCTGTGAGACAAGCAAAGAAGGAAAACGTAATTCTTATCTCTCTTGCCGTGCCTGTGTTGTGCTAAAGTAGAATGCAATATTGAGATTGTTTACCCAAAGTGAGGATGTTTTGTTCCCTTGGCCTATCAGGGCCAAGAAGTGTGTGTGTGTCGGACTGTCACAAGACAGTCACAAGAGAATCGAGTTCTGTGCAGTTGTGAGCAAGGGTGAGTGCAAGGCAGATTCAGTTTAGATGCAATGTATATAGTATAGAATAATAAAGTAATTATTTAGCCTTCTGATGATGGAGTCAGACGCATCATTTTCTCTCCCCTTCGTCGGGGGTCGCCCGTGCACTGATAAGTTAGTACTAGCTTACTAAGTCAATAAAAATGCATAGTGCAGTCAATCAATTCTGGTTTTAAATAAAAGCCGAAGGCTTCATTGATTGGAGTGGATTTTTTTGTTCATTTTCCTATTAAGCAATCCCAGCAGCCAACTGTTCAAGTTACAGATTCCTCACTATGAGTTTCAGCAACTGATACCACCCATCTCTTAGGAAAGTTTGAGAAATTTCGCACTTCATCCTTCAGAAGTGCCAAGGCAGATATTCCTAAACTATCTTAATCTCTCTTAGTTTTCCTACCTCTCCAGATGGGAGAAGTACAAGTTCAGGAAACAGATATGCTAGAGGGAGGTTTCCTCTTGCTCTGTGATGTATGGCAGATGGATTACCACCTGAACTGTGGTAACTCAGTGTTTTCCAACGATTATGAACAACTAATGCATGAGGCAAACAGTGGAGAGACAGTGAAAACAAAAATACTGTAAAAATGCAGTTTTAAGGTGAATTTGTTCTAAAACTTTGCATATTTCTTGAGAGTCACTGCCATCAGAGGAAGATTCTGAAGGTCAAAACAAGTCCTTGACCTATTTTTTTTTTTTTTGTCTGTAAATGGAATTCCAGATACCTGTGAAAACCCTGGAACTTTTTAACCTTAAAATTCAGCTTTCTGTGCTCATTTGTAGTTACAACTGAAAACGAAACTTGCCTTGCTGTAGTATAAAGGAGAGCCCAAGGCAGTGCACCAGAGAAGTGTTTTAATGGACTTTAATGGGACAGAATGAACAAAGATTTACACATTGCCTTTACAATACAAATAGGAGAAAGAAAAAAGAAGCAAGCAGAATCAACATACATGATGAAATGTATGAAAAGTGAAGAACATCTGAGTTTGAAGGTGCTACTCTTAGCAGCCACTTCACAGTAGCAATTATATAATTATACAATTTCTCTGGTTTGAGAAAAAATATTATCAGAGTCATTATAGTCAAGTCCACCCAAGCAAGAAAACACAGCTTGTCATAGAATACCAAGCACCCTAATAAGTTAGAATAAAAAAGGAAGATTATTTTGAACACAAAAAACAAGGGAATGGCCTCAGCGGACTCAGATGATTGCGTTCTTTTGCCTTTCAGTATTAAATATGCAAGTTTGTATCCTGGTAACTCCAAACAGCAGCACTGTGCCAGCTACTAAGCAGAAAATTATTTCTACCCCATATGAAACCAGCATGTAATAGAGGAGTTGTTTGGAAAACTTTTGGGGAAAACAAAAAAAACCTACAAAAAAACCCCAAGAACAATTCTTCATGATACATTTATAACTGTTCAAAAGTAAGCCAGTACACAATAACTTAACATCAGAAAATCAGTAACATCTTGTTTCCAAGCATCTTGCTGAATGCCAAATGAGATCCAAGTGCTAGCCTCTTGTAGCACACCTGAAGAGACTTGTCCTCCTTGTATAAGCTCACACTTCTGCACTCAGACATATCCTTCTCCCTCTCTCTCTGGAATCAGCCAACTACAGGCATAATCCTACCATGCATCCCACCTGAAAGACATGGACTTGCAGCCTCATGTGGCAATTCCAGCAGCAGCAGCTCACCCTGCCCTTCAGCAGGGACCTGGAGACAGTGCTCTGATTTCACCCAAGAACATTTATTCCACTTCTACCATCTGCCTTGGTGACATTACTACCTACTTCTTCAGCATATCTATTTATCCTGTGCGTCCCTAAGACCTCTCTTTGAGGGTACATAACACATCCTGAGGTCGCACTTATTCTTCACAAAATGCATCTTACATGGGATCACATTTTTAGCCCAAAATATTTCCTACTTCCTTTTAAGAAGGGGAAATCTGTGTCTCTAAAATTTATTAAAATTATGTAGAATAATCACCATACTGTCTTTTCCGAGAGTACTTTATTTCTGAAACAAGATGAAAAAAATTCCTTTTTTCAGAGATTGCATAAGCATGCACAACAGCAACAAGATTTATACAATATTCTTTTAGCGCAACAAATCTTTCGAGACAACTATCTTGCTCTCCTTGTTTTCTTACAAAATTTAAAATTAACACTGCTATCACTTCTACTAGTCTTTCATTAAACTCACCATTTATTGACACTGGGCAACCATAAAAATTGGTTTACTACCCTCTCTTTCAAATTAAACTAATGGCAAAATAGCCATGCAGAATAAAGTGTAATCCATCTACGGCTGTGTTAGTCACAGCCATAGCATAATTATTCATATTTAGCCTTACAGGGTTCAAGAACAATGGCACATATTGGCTCATATTTGGCATTTGATTAAATTGCTGAGTACTTTTTTTTCACAGCTGGCATGAAGTGCCCACCTGTCTAATTATTTACAGATAACTTCAATCCTCCTACATCTCTTTCTTCTCTAAAAGATCTTAGCAAACTCCAAAGGCTGGGAACAGTGTGACTAATCAGGGATTACTATTAAAGGGCCAGGCAGGACACAAACTGTGACTACTGACAGACAGATTCATAGCCTGAGTGGAAGTCATTTAATATATAAAAACAATTACTTCAAACAAAGCTGGAACAGCTACTGAAGGGGGATAAATAAAATCCTCAATATGTTTACTTGTCATGAACAGTTCAATTAAAGCCAGACTTCAAAACAGGTAGTGGATTGTTTTTTGGTTTTTTTTTACTGGAAAGCTGTAAAAGAAAGAGAGGCAGATATCATCCAATAAAATTTTTTCTCTTTATAAACTACATCACACATATTACAATATAATATCAATATGGATAGGAAAAATGTAGCAAAAAGAAAAAAAGAATTCTTGGATATTTTTCCTGACAGTCCAACAACTGATTTGATATTCCACAAAAAAAAAAAAAAAAAAAAAAAAAGTGGAGAAAGCAAGGAACAAGTAGCTAAATTGTTGGCTGGATTATGCTAAATGCAACACATTTTGTTTGTTGCATTTAACAGAAGAAAGTGGCCTAGTTCTGTTTTCTGAAACAGAAAATCAAGGAAGAGTCCCAAAACCAAACTCAGAACTACAAAAAAAATGTTGCGAACTACACACCTACAATGCAGGCAATGACCAGTGAATTTAATAGAAAAATAAATAAAAACACATTCCTGTCACGTCATCTTTGCTCAGAAACCCAGTCCAGCTTTACTTCCAGATTCAATGTGTGAAGGGCACCTCAATGTTCCTGTAATGGCACATTCTGAAATCTTTTTCATATGTAGCCCCTCAAAGCAGTTCAACTAACAAGTTGACATGACTTTAGTCAGTTATTTTATCACTCTATTCTATTCTGCCTTCTAATTTCTTAAACTGGAATTCAATGTCAGTGATGAAGGGAATTTTTCAGAAAAAAAATTAAGAAAGGGAAACTAAAGAAAGCATTCCACCAGCCTATATGTTTTCACAATAAGAGATATTATTTAATACCAAATACCAATTTAGTATTCTGACGAAACTATTTTAGAAACAAAAAAAGTCATAGACAAAACCAATAACCACATGCTTTCCTAAGAGGTAAGCAAAAAATAAAGCATCAAGCATTAGCTAAT